AGCCGCCAGCCGGTATATACTCAATAGGTACCTAGCTAAAAACGATCCGAAATATAATTACCTATATTATATTAATACATTATTATGCATTAACATTTGGGTTATATTTTGTAACTATTGCCTCTGGAAAATGCAGGGCTTGAAACCGGTAACCGATTTTTCCCGGTAACCGGTTACCATGAGTACTTTTTGGACTGGTATCCGCTTCCCGGTTCTCGAGTTTCAATTTTGAGAAGCGGTTATCAATTACCGGTAATCACGGAATTTGATAAAGGGGGAAATCTATAACGGTAACCGTTTATTTTTAGAACCGGTTAATTAATCGGAAGTATACAAAACCGTAAATCTCAAACCAATTAACGTAAAAATAATTTTTTTTTAATTATATTGAATATTCTAAATAGAAGAAAATAATATTTATAAAATACTAAAATAGATTATTTTAGAACAACTAAGTATTAAAATTTAAAAATACCAAAACAAGCGTGTTTGATTGCGGAATCGTATCGGCGCACTAACAAAAGATTCTCAGTAGTCAGTACCTATGATATAGGTACTGAATACTGATACGAATGGTAAAAAAATTGACGAATGCGGGCTGATACATATATATTATATAATATAGTATTTAACTCTTGCATGTACGATATTGTACCAAGTACTAGGTAATAGGTACCTTATAACTTATAATCAGGGACTGTTTTGATATTCATTATTTAATAATAAGTTCGTTACATTAGTTCGAAATAATAGTAATACTGAACAAAACTGTGTAGTACTATACTAAACATGTTAAGTTTGATGAAAAAAAAAAAGTAGGTATTAAAACAAAAAAAAAATGGTTTTATGAGGTAACCGGTAATTTTGAAGATTTAAAACCGCTTCCAAATAGATAACCGGTAATCCCATTTATAAAATTTATTTCGGTAAGCGGGAAATGATTATCATTATTTCTAAAAACCTCGATAACCGGTAACCGGTTCCAAAAAATTTGGTAAAAACCCATTTCTTCAAGCGCGGTTTCAAGCCCTGGGAAAATGTTTAGTTCACCACGTCAGTTGACGTCGAAGATTGAAACGTTCGTTCTCAGTCTTTAAAAATATGTTAACCGATAAACGTCACATCTTCACACAAGAAAAACCCAAAATTCATATGATTATTCATTTAAATACAAAATAAAATTTAAAAATTACACTAAGTTGTTCAGAAAATTCCTCAATTTCTTAGATTCCGAGTGGAACGATGAATGTATTGATTTTACAATGATGTGTGTTTTTATTTGATTTTTATTTTTTTATTTGTGTCTGTGTAAATGATAAGTAGTCGAAATAATGCTTCGATTTTCAACTTCAGTATCTTGTTCGATTGGAAAGTGAATATCGTTCATGCATGTGGGAGGTCAAAATTTAAAAGTTAAGAAAAGCCTTTCTTGGAAAGTTTTCACAAGCCCCGGGAAAAACAACATAAAAATTAAGGAAAAACGTGAATTTTTACTCAAAATCGGTTTTTGACAAAATTGATTTGGCTTTTGGTGTAACTCTAAAACAGATGATACTAAATACATGAAATTTTCACTGGTTGTTTATATTTGTATTTTCTATACACGATAACATTTTCAAAATATTATGATTTGTTTTGAACTGTTTAGGAACATTTTCATTTTCCATTTTTTTTTTAGTTTTTTTCTAAAAGTATCAATAAATGTTATTTGTTGGTTAAAAAAGCTTGAAAATTTAATAGAAGGATCCTAGTATATTGTTTCAAAGGTAGATGAAAAATATTAAAAATCCTTAGTTACAGTTTTTTTTATAAGCATTTAAAATTCAAAAATTGACAAAATATGGAAAAATCACGAAAATTAGCAAATTATTTTGAGTTAAGAATTCGTAAAATTATTTCTTATTAGTTTATTACTCATAAGCTTGTCTACCTTTATCAATAAAAAAATCTCACCCGGAAAGTCAAGTTACATTTTTATGAGCGTTTAAAGTTCATAATTTTACAATATTGTTTATTCACTCGACTTCTCATGTAGCGATTCCCTTATTTGTTGTAATTCAAAAACGAATAACTGTAGATACATGAAAATTTCACTAAATGTTTATATTAGCATTTCCTATACACCATACAATTTTGAAAATATTTTGACTTTTTTGAGCTGTTTACGGACATTTTCAGTTTTCAATTTTTTTAGTTTTTTTTTTTCTATGAATATCAATAAAGTTTTATCTGTTTTGCCAAAAAGTGTAAAAATGTAATACAAGGCTCCTGATTTATTGTTACAATAATTAAATATTGATAAATATTAAAAATACATAGGCACAATTTTTTTTTTAAAGCATTTAAAGATCGAATTTTGACCAAATTTATCAAATTAAAAATCGAATAATTATTTTGTAGTGAAAAATGTATAAAATGTTCAAATTTTATATCTTAAGATTGATAATTTAAAACGAAATTCCATGTAGTTAATTCTGTTACCATAAAATCTAAAAAATACATAAGCACAGTTTATTTTCATAGTAATTTTAAGTTAATATTTGGATGAAATTACATAAAAAAAAACCTAGAATAACTATTTTAGTTATTTTGTTGTGATTGTATAATATTATTCGTGGGTACTTGAAACTTCGAAAGTACACTTTTATATATCTATGATAGTATCAGGGTTTGTTGTTGAATGTATAATGAGTTATAAGTACCTAATGGATATTGTGATATGATTAATTTGTAATTTATTATAGGTACTTATTATACAGGTTGTCCCGTGAGGATTTACTCATTGCGATATCTCCTGAAATTTTAGAGATATCGTAATTCTGTTTTCTTAGTAAGACTCACATAGGTAAGCACTACAAATAACTAATTTTTTATTTTTTTTTTTATGTTTTGGTAAAAAAGTTAAAAAAATTATTTTTTTAATTAATTATTTAAAAAAATATTGAAGATTGCCATTTTGTAGAGTTCATTTTTCTGAAAATATTGACGTTTTAACATTTTAATTTCATTAATTTCCTGATTTTTAATACTTTTTTTAATTAATAAGTAAAACGGCAAAAAACCGGTTTTTGTCCGGGCGGCGAGTCCCCCTCTACGGTTAATAGGTAAATCCTCACGGGACACCCTGTAGGTCAATTTTTTTCAATACCATAGATAAGTAGGTATATAATATGTCTTATACCTAGACTGACATACCGTCTCCGCTCAGAGTCGTTTTTCTTATACAATGATATAATTGATATTATATCATTGAATTCAAATTTAATACCATCCATTATACAGTGACCCACTTGTAACCTACTGTACAGCAGAGCACCTTTTTTTTTTATTAAGTATTTAAGTAATTAATTATTATAAGTTGTTTAATTTGTACATTTTGAATAAAGAAAAACAATTCTTGCATATTTTTTGCATATTTTCATGTTTTAATAATAAATAAATCATAATACAGAATTATTAAGCTTCGCTGATGATACAGCTATTCTGCTATCGGAACTAACTGTTGATAAACTATACAATGAATAAAATAAAATATTAAATACTGTTTATGCTTGGTTCAGTAAAAATAAATTAAAATTAAATCTTATGAAATCAAAATATATTTGTTTTACACAGCAACCATCAAATACATTAATACTAAATAACCTAATAGTACATTCTTTAAAATGTAATAAAACTACAAATACAATTAGATAGAAGCAAAATATTAATATACTTGTACCAAATCTTAATAAAGTATTTGGTCAAAGAAGCATCTTATATACGGGTTTATATTTATGTAGTTCACTAAATATCAATATAAAAAATCATAAAGATGTTAAACATTTCAAAAAATATATAAAACAATTAAATTTATCAAATTTGTAAATTTTATTTCTTTTAAAAATATTACAGTTATTTATGTAAAATATTATTATTATTATTATTGTAAATTTATAGTATTTATTCTCCTCCCTTCGTACTTATGTTTTAATTATCAACTATCAATTATGTTAACATTATTATATATTTGTAAATCCTATTTCTATTAATTAATTAGTAAATTTGTATATATTTATTTAATCTACAAGAACTGTGCAACCAGCACAAGCTTTGCTTAAAGGGGGTACTGCAATATATTAATCTAAATTTTGTAAAATAATTGTTTGATATCCTTACGTTGGAAAAATAAATTATTATTATTATTATTATTAAGCACTATAAAGATGTGATATCATGAATAAATGCTAAGTATATTGAATTTAAGTAAACCTATTTTGTTTCAATAATTTATTTACTTGGTGAGGAATTATTTAGAATAGTTCATAAATATAAATATTAATGTTTTTAATGTTTTAATGTTTTGTTCATCACACTTTGTTTCTTTTGAGAAATAATTAATCGCCAATTAAATAAATTATTGAAACAAAATAAGTTTACTTAAATACAATATACTTAGGATTTCTTCATGATATCACATCTTTATAGTGCTTAAAGATTTTATATTTCTTTTCCTTAGCCATTTTTACAAGTAGTAGGTTTTTGTTGTGATAATATTATGTAAGTTTGTTAGGCTTTCGTATTACATGTAAAATAATTGAAAAAAAACTTTTAAAATCAGAAAACGTGTGTGTTTATAGTGTGTAGTCAAATAGTTTTAACAAGTAAAATATTATGGACTTATTCAAAAAGTAAAGAAAATTATATGTATAAAATAGGTACAGAATAGGTTAAAAATCCAAACAAACTAAAAGCCCGAAATATTGGTTAAAATATTATTACAATAATATAACAATAAGTGTGAATAACAATACGGTTGTCTCAGGAAAAATAAAAACACCCGAAATCCTTCATAATGCTGGCCGATATAAGAACGATGGACGTAGTCGCTGGCTAGTAATAACTAATAAACATATGGGAGGATTTCGATTTGTTCGCTCTCGATGACAGAAGTAATCGAAATCTCCTTCACTTTCAATTCAGTGTTCCACTTCTCTAGTCGTATTTGCATAAAATTAAAAATGGCTACAACCAACCCGCAAATTTGTTTCAACAACGAAGACCTAATAAACGAATTAATACAAAATGTATTGGGTGACTTCATCAACGCAAGCGTAACGGAGACGTCAGACGTCATCGACACATGCGTAATGGAGACGTTAGACGACATCATCGACGCGATTGAGACCCCCAAAGATAACGATCTCCAGGATACCGAAATCGACGACGTCGTCGAAGAAGTGGTTAGATCAATGATGTTGGTTATTTGCGATGATGCGTCGTCCGGCGGAGAAGCACCGTTGACAGAGTTGCAATCTGTCGAATCCACTGCAACATCTGAAGGCGGACCTCTGGGCGACGCGGTGCAGGACGTTAATGAAGAGCGAACTCCGGCTAAGGGAGCCGAAGTGTTCAATAGATTCGGTGATCTAGTAGGTTGGCTAGATCCGGGAGCAACACCCGTGCAAAGCGCTCCACGACGGCTGAACCCGTTTTCGGTGACGTGGAAATGCGTCAAACGGGTTGTACGTGGAATCTGTTGCTGCCGAGGTGAAGGCGTCGACTAATCAAGAAGTTGATACGGCCCTTGGCCGAAGACATCGGACAGGAGACGGCGACGTAGAGGATCGGGGGATACGGGAAAGAGCACGGATGGTGCCCGGCGGTAAGTCACCCATAAACGTTCTCCGGCCACCCACGGCGAGGCGGGTTCATGGGCGTAGCGAGCTCGGTCGCCAATGACGCGCGAGACCCTCTGGCGGCTCGGCGGGCGCCCGACTTCGGTTCGGTCGTGTGGAGCGACGGATGACGACGACGACGTGACGGCTAGCAGTACGGACGTGGGCAACGATTTCGCTCCGGCCGTGCCAACGACAATGGTGCGACTCGCGTTATGCGACGGAAGCGGTGGAGACTTTGTCAAGGGGCAAGTAGTAGAGATATGTGCAGGAACAAGGACGTCAGTGGCACCAGACCCGTGGAAATTTAACTGTTTCAGGGTCTGGTGGCACGCGACTCTAGTGCGGCTGTCATTGGACTATGACGTGGCTGAATAAGGTTGTCCCAGGGTGAAAATTACCGAGAGTTGAGGACCGCAGTGCGTCGCGCTGCGGTCCGCTGACTCTCGCCTTTTCACCTCGCGATGATCCCACATCGGGGTCGCTTGTCCACGGTCACCGCCGATTCCGCAGCATAAAATCTCGTTTCACTCGCCCCATGTCTATTGGTTTCCTCCGCCGTCCGTCATAACCGAGTCGTAACCATCAAGTGTCAACGCGCACAACATCGCGCACTAGCCGCCGCTCGTCACCGTTATCCATCGCTCCCACGGCCCTCCGCGGTCTGGCCTCGCCGGCCGGGCAAGGTCGTCACGCGCCCGAGCAAACGCGCCTGTGACACTCGTCCGCTCGCGGGACCGGTCGTGAGAACGTTTTAGAGGTGACCAGTGGCCTTTAACTTGCATATCAGCATCAATTCGCCATCTCGTATCCCCCCCTCCTAGTTTATTGTGTCTCCTGTCCGGTGTATTTTTTTTTATTTTTTATTTATATATTGTATTTTTTTCATAATTTTTTATATTGTTCTAAATTGTTTTACGCCCCCCCCCCCCTTTCGGCCTCAAAAATCTCATTAACATAAAATTGTTATTCTTAATAGACACTTTGTGCTAATTTTTTCTAGTAACTAAGCTTTTTGTGTTCTAAATTCTTTGCTTCCCCTTTTTGTTATTAAAAACCATTTAGGTATCTAAATTATTTTCCCCCCTTCTTTTCAGCTTTAAAATCCTTGTTCAGATAAAATGTTAATAACAGCCACTTTGTGCTCATTTGTTCTATTAACTTATCTCGTTGTTTTCTAAGTTCATTGTTCCCCCTTTTCGGAATTAAAAATCATGTATCTACTTGTAAAATATTAATAAAGACAACTCTGAACTACAAAATTTGTTATTTTTTGTATAAATGATATGTTCACCTTTTTGTATTAATTGTACCATGCGCTTAACAATTATGTATTTATAATATGTTAATGAATTATAAATAATACGGTAGCCGGTAAGTTGAATTAGTATTATGAAATTACAAAAAAATAACTAAAAACCGTTATTCTTGGTTATATAATATGTAATTTCGTCCAAATTTTAACTTAAAATAACACTATAAAAAAACGGTGTTTATGAATATTTTTAGATTTTTTTCGTTACAAAATTAACTAGTGGAAGGCGAGGAAAAAACTTACTATAGATTAAAACATACATCATTATAAAATCAATAAATTCATCGCTTCACTCAAAATCTGAAATTTTGAATAGTAATATATGAAGAAAAAATATTAATTACACATATTTTGTGATAATAGGAATTTGAGTGGGAATTTATCAGAAATGGATTAATAGTTATCTATAGCAATAAACATATAGTCGTGGACAGTGATTTAGGGAGGGGGCTTGAAAATTAGTTACAATTCTATTTTTATTTTATTTCGATATAACGATTTCAGACGTTTATTTGAGGTATTATAAAATGTATGTAACCTCTCAACTTTTCTGGTAGAAAAATTCTCTAATCATAAACTTCGATGCGTTTTTGGAAGCAAATTGGATTTAGTTTTTACTTTTAGGAGGTCAAAATTGAAAATGCTCAGTGCATTTTAAAATATTTGGAGAAAAAAATTATTAATATTGTCTGTTAACCATATTGGTTATACTGCCCTCACTTGGATTGTATTTGAATAATACAATTTTTTTTTAAATATGTCAATAAAAAATTATTTATCCGGTCAAAAATCTTAAAAATGTAATACGTAAGTTTTTATAAATAGTAACAATACATAGGCATCATTGGTTATTTCTTATAAGCATTTAAAATTAAAATTTCGTCAAAACCACAATCAATTTGTACCTATAGTTCAAAACTTATAAAATTTTAAAAGTGTATAGCTAAGGCTATACAATTTAATACACGGTCTTTCGTACAAGTAGTTTATGTTTTTACCAAAAAACTACAGATAAATTTAGGAAAATTTGTATGCAAATACAATGTTTTTTCAAAAATGAATTCATTTTGGTAAGACTTATATGAAATTTACGTATTGCTATTATTATAGTTGACAGTTGAAACTTGATAAATATATTTTTTGTAAGTAATAATAATACGAGTGATGGGGGAGGGGGCTTCAGCCCGTTATCCCCCCCTGCGTACGCCAATGGTCATGGACATCAATAATTTATTTTCTTTCTTGACTCAATGTTCTGAAAACCTTATAATACGGTTTTGCTTCTCGTGCGGAACTACCCACTTTCCAATACTTAAGTGGAACCGTTTTTAAAAAATTTAAATCTTTAGCTATTGTAAAACAGGGTGAATAGAAACACTTTTTAACTTTGAAGTATCATACAAACTTTTCTATTTGTACTTTATAGATGATCAATACATCAAAATACTGGTCTTTTTAAGTACCTACTTTAACTTATGTTCAGTCAAAATATTTGTATTATTAACAGATTATTTAACAGAGTTTTGCGTTTAAACATAAAATATATCAAAATTCTTAGTTTACATAATATGTGTAATGTGTATACCTATAATTTATTATTATAGGTAATTGCACATTTAATTTTAAAGAAATAACAATCTTACATTTTTTTATTTCTGCCGTGAGTCAAATTGTTTGAAGTGCCTCTACCTATTAATAAACATAAATTAGAATAGAAGCCGGTTTTTAGAAAACAAAATATTAGTAACTAATATTTAGTTTTCTTATTACCTGCTGATTGCGCCTGGAACGACAACAATTATAGCCCATGTTACAGCTATATTGCCTGTGTTTAAAACAAGCCTATAAATGCCAGCTTCTGTTATGTGTAACAGTCGTCGGCAATAGATAATAATATTAATTGTAATAATAAGTATTAACACTTATAATATGATAATAAATATAAATTATTATAATACGAGCAATAATAAATATATGTATTTAATGGATTAAACATTTAACACAATTTAAACTGGTAGTATTTTTTCAAAACAAATCATAAACAAAACATAAACATTAATGGCAACAATTTAAAAATATTAGATTCGCATTGGTAATCATTTTAATGTTATTATTTTGATTTCACGAAAAGTTACCTATTGATGTAATTAATTAAAAATATCACAAAAGCTGGTACAAATATAGGAATATTATAAACATGGGTAATTTTAGGCACGAACATTTTGTTGTTTTATTTGACAAATTACATTACAAAGTATCTACGTCAATAATTATTATTATTATTATTATTATTATTATTATTATTTACTCTATATACGTAAAAATGCATGTGTTGCAATAGCCAAGGTTAGGACCACACAAATATATAATATTATTGCTACAGTATTAAGCATGGTGTACGTGGCACAATATATTAATTACTATTAACGAGTGCCACAAGGAAACGTTAGTTTCTAAAGTACTAGAAGAGCCATAGCGAATACTTAAGTGGGACCTTGTAAAGGACCATGTAATCTGACTGTTGTCTACTATATAAAGGCTCCAAATCAGGGAGACCAGACACACTATTTCTGCGTGACGACTAGTTGACAGTATTCATGCTAGAGATATTTGTCTTAAATTGTAACATTACTCTGAGTGCTTAAAAAGTATTAACCACTAACCTTAGGTCAATAAATTTATAATAATAATTAATTCGACTACTTGTTACTTCATTTGATTCGACCTTGTCAACCGAACTCCACATCTGGTTCGCAACACATGTCTGTTTGTCCATAACTGATATACTCCAAAACTACTGGAAAAGTAGCTCACACATTTAGTTTTCAGCTCACGAAAAAGAATATTGTTTGATTACATGTTTGTCAGGTTAGAACGAAGCGATATGCAAGGAAAATATTGAGATAGTTACAAACATTTTATGATGAACCCCTCGTGTCTGGCATAGGCGTGTACAGACGTCGTCCGCAGATTGTGCACAAAAGTGGTATATCCAGGGGAGAGGTTACTGCACCAACCTCCTCCCAACCCAAAAAATATTAGATTAAGGTTCGGGAATATGACAACCAAATTTTGAAATAAGCTTTATCTTCTGATAATAATTAAAGCAGTTTTACTTTTTTTTATTAGGAATAAAAAACAATATTCTTTTTATCAGATAAATAAATAACTAGGTAGGTTATATGAAATTGTATTTAGTAATTTTAAAATATAATTGTAATACTAATAATACTTTTACAAATGTTTATTTTTACGTGATTAAAATTAAAAAACTTAATACGGAATCAGAAACTTAGAAATAAAAGTTTATATTATACACGTCAATTTATAATGTAGGTACCTACCTAAGTTGGATCAAATTTCGCAAGTCATGCCTGTGCATGGGTTCACTCTAGATTTCTAAAAACACAATTAATGAACGCACTGGCAATTTATCGACAGTTAAATAATTATTTATTTATAATTATGAATATATAATAATAATTTCCTTTAAGTATCCTGTTTCACCGTTACCGATCCTACGTGTGTAACGACTATCGGGGATGTAATTTCTAAACTAGTTCAACCGTTAACC